AAGGGAAAATTCTGTTATCTTTTCTTTATTTCCTTAATGTGTTGTCGAGATACAGTAAAGACAGTTTTTGACCTGGTCATCTAAAATCTATTTCCTAAAAGTTTATCTTTTATCACATCAAATCACAATGCGCTTTATTGTACGATGGAATCTCTCGACTATCCCATTTCTCGATGGTACGTGGGCACAGCAAAATCGTATTTTTACATTCCACATCCTTGCAAACGCGGCAAACCTCCACAGAACGCTGCGCCATGATCTGTAAGCAGCTCAACCGGCGACCCTCTTTCACAAAACACCACTTCCAGCTCCTTGATGATGCTAGCAGAGTTTTGGTGGTGCAAGGGCTTCCAAATGGCAAAACGACTCTATCAGCGTCAGGTATAGTTGATGTCCGAAATGGGTTACATCCATCACAACCCATTGCCAATTTTCTGAGACATCAAGCCTCCCTGGTTTCCAACGCACAGGGGCCAGGTCGATTGACTGGCATTCCTTGCATCCCCTAACCACCGCTCGCACCTCAGCTTTTGTTACTCTTGGGTCGATCAACTTCACAAAATAGAGTGTTCTCTTCACACCAGGATGTCTGCTGAATTGATGAATGGCTTGTACTTGAGCAACATCTCGCTCTTCAGCCACAGCGCACATAGGTTCTCTGGGTTCCATTATTTTGCGCATTTCATTTAACCATTTCTGCAGTACTCTAGTAAGTTGGTCGGCTCGATTGTTGCACGACTTGACAAGCTCTACATCAATGTCCAGCTTGTATTCTAAGGCCAACTCTTGGAGTGTGGCTAGCTGATGTCTGATTAGCATCTTGGAGGCTGCCTTGGTGCGCATTCTCGTCCATCTGGACAGAGTGTCAGCTACCCAGTGATGCATCCATGCTGAGTCTGTCCGTAAATGAATGGTTTTGGCCTTACATTGTAATGCAAGGTTGGCACCTCGCAACACAGCATCGAGCTCAGCTAACTTGATGTGCTTGTCTTTGTGCACCGGTCGGAGCCAGCTTGTGTCTTCTGCCACGGCGCCGTTGCTCTCCACAACCATATCGGTGGCTAAGGAGCTTGCATCTGCCCACACGGATAGATTTTGCTCACTGATGCACCAGTCACCTTTCACTGGATCGTCCTGGGCTAGTCTCTTAAAAATGTCGTCGATCATCTGAGCTAGAAAAGGGTCCTGCACTTCATCATCCCATCCAGTGGTAACAGTGTTTGCCCTCCGCTTCACAAATGCTGTGACGACACGTAACCAACCGCATACAGGAAAATGACCAGTCAACTTCCCGCACAGCGAGAAGACAATTCGGCGGGTAAGTTTATCGGGGACTACCGGAAGTTCACATCCATGACGCCATCGCAGTTTTCCTTGCTCCTCCCAGTATGCGTGTGCCAATTCTTAGCCGCTCCGGGGTCTTACTTGACAGACCAAACTGCTCCAAATGTTCCTTGCTCCTCCCAGTATGCGTGTGCCAATTCTTAGCCGCTCCGGGGTCTTACTTGACAGACCAAACTGCTCCAAATGTTCCTTGACGCGGACCACAGAAAACACACTCTCATTAACAAAAACGTTGTCAATATAAGAGGAGGAGTCTGGTTAACAATGGCCCGCATGATTAAAGGGGCAACATTGAGCCCAAATCCTAAGCGGGTTAGACAATACCTTTGTCCCTTAATCTCCAGTGTTTGGAATGGCCAAAGGGACTTGTCGATGTGTACCTGCAGATAGGCCCGGCATAGGTTCAGCACTGCAGCATTTGGTCCTTGCTGACGCCATTCCCGTAATTTTTGCGAACAAACATCTGTGTTGGCTGCGTACGCGTCGAGGTACTCATTGAGTTCCCGGTAGTCCATCACGGGCCGAACCTTCTGTTTGTTTTCCTGCAGAATGGCCATGAGGGGGTCCGAGTTCTTCCTCCGGGTAAGGAAGCAGCCAGCCATTATCTATCCAAATCTGGAGTTCTTGATCATACTCCTCCCAAATTTGTGCGGAAGCTGGATATTCTGCCAGTCTATTTCTTAACGTACCCAGGGGTTGGTTGCCAGCCCATTTCCAATATGTGGTCCACCTCCGAGTGGTCTCATCGAATTCTACTTTAAAGTCGGGGTCGGTAATGGTGATGGCAGCAACGACTGGTTTGACACACCGCGGAAACTTCACCTCTCCGGTGCCAGTTACAGATATTCCTCCCAACTGTTTGATGGCGTCTAGGCCAAGCAGGAAGTCAAATCCAAGCAGGTCTTCGTCCACGACTAGGGCTTCCATAGCGATGGACGGCTTTGCACCAACGCTAATTTGTACCACTCCGATTCCACAGCAGTCAAGTGTGCCTCCGTCTATTGTAAGTACGCGTGTTGATTTTCTTGTCCATGCACGACAGCATAACTTGCAGACTAGTGACTGTGTGCATCCTGTATCCACCAGAGCTATATGTGGTATTCCATTGATACAAACTGCCACTACAGGCAATGCGCCATTTACAAGGGTTTTGGAGAGGAGATTGGCCTTGAATTCTCACCCCCTTGCCCGTTTCCCGGACAACACCGAGCAATGTGCCCTTGCCGATGACATCAATAGCAAGTGATGGTCCGTCGGTGTTTGGTACCAGCACCTTTGGATGGTTCATGACCCAGGAGACAATCGCTCGCCCTATGATTGGGTCCATCACATTTATAGCACCTCGTGTGCACATCTGTTTCCTTCAACTGTGCAGCCACTGCGGCCTGCTCCGTAGGACCAGTACACTTCTTCAAAATAGCGCGAGCTTGTGCCAACACATGTGGCAAATCCAGGTCTTCCATCTGGGATGACGCTCTTAAAAGCTCCTCTGCATACTCAGTCAATCCAGCAACGAATTTACACTGCAAACACTTTTCTGATACGACACCAAACAGAACCGCGAGTCTGTGCAGTTCTGCCAAAAAGACGTCGACCATCTCCCCTGGCTGAAGGTGACGTACTGCAAACTGCTTCCACGTGGAGAAGGGATCTAAGGCGAAAGCTGTGTATAACGCTTTCTTAACGCGGTTGAAGTCTCGGCGCTTCTCCTCCTCAATTGCTGCTACACAGCATATCGCCACCTGCCAAACGCATCGGGATAACACACTCAATTCGCTTCACACCGCTCAACTGACATGTTAGTTCCGTCTTCTCCGATCATTCCACTACCGACTGTCCAGAATCGCTTCCATCGAACAGTGGTATCAGCTTTGGGTCGAAGGCCATAATGCTGAAATAGCTTGTGCGAGAAAACGGGGGAAACAACTTCACGACACAAAAATGGGCCTACTTGCGGCACAAAAATGACCGCCTTCTTGCGAACCTGAAACGAATGCGACACAAAAACCAACACCTTCTTGTGAACGAACACTTTACGACAGCAAACGAGCAAAACGGCACCCAAGACTGCTGCCGACAGACAACCGACTGCAACGGCTTGTGTCGCCCAAGAAAAGACACCAAACGACTTGCGCATCTTCTTGTTGTTGTCCTTGGTCAAGTCCATTATGGTACTCGAAGGTGTGCCCGGCGACAACACACACACGTAGTTCGAGGCCGTTTCTGCACATGTTCGTTACAGGATAGATGCTTAAAAATTTTGAATGCTCACTTTAACTATTTTGAATATGTTATCTCTTGCATTGTATACCATTGCTTATACAAACAACTTTTGATATGTTTGATTATTAATAGTATGTTCTCTATAACCGTATTGATCTCTTCTTGGATTTGAGTTGAAATTTAACCTTTTTTAAAAATGAAAAAAATAAGTAATATGTTAAAATGCTGCTTATTTTCTTGTTAGAATCATTTTATATCAACTACAATCATCAAAAATTTAAATGTAATGTCAGTTGTTATCTTCTGTCTCTCTAAATTCAGTTCTTTTATTATCCTTTCTTTTACTCTCAGTAATCTTTTGCATCATAGTGGCTTTATCACCTTGCTTGGTTAAAAAAAATAAAATAAAACAATACACTAGTTTTGATAAAATGCACACTAATATGACAAGTCATAATAGAATCTTTTGAAGTTAAAGCTAAATATCTCAAATGACAAAGAAAAAACATGTTGGCCAATTTATGATGAATTTACATTTCTTTTTTTAAAGCCTCACTGTAAGAAGCATAATTATTATTATTATTTTTGTAAAGTATTAGCAATCTAATTGAAAACTCCTTCAGAAAATATTTCATTTGTATCAATCTCTATTAGTTCCAATGAAATATTTAAAGTCCATTTTTTGTAGTTAATTAAATATTTAAACCGTATTTGATCTTTCTATTCTCTATAAAGACAAGTTTTATCATAATGCTGTTAAATCATCAAAAAATCTTATTTACTTTCAGCAGATTTCTAAAAAAAAAATGCAAACATTGTAAATTTCTTAAGAAAGAAACCATTATAATGGATTATATACAATATGTCAAAGAAATGTTTTGTTTCAATGAACATATTAATTTTCATTTCATTTTGTGGATAGGATAAGGAAATAATTCTTGCAAATATAAAACAAAATTTTTAATTGAGTGAAAACATTATTTTGTGATATTGTAAAATAAACTAAGTAATTTTCCTTAAAATTTAAAATGTCTTGCATCTGAAAGAGGTATGCATTTGATTGTTTTTCTTAGATGTAATTAAACATTGTTAGATTTAATGTATTCATTTTAAGTTTGCTGGAAGCTAAAGTAAGAAATTTGTACCCCACTTAAGGTTATTAATTCACTTTATTTAAGTAGTAATTTAGGACTTAGATAAAGAGCCAAAGCAATTGTAAATAGTGAAATCTAAAATTAGCACATCTATATAATTTTTGTTGTAGCTAGGATCCTGCAATTTGTAAGCCTTACTTTGATTTTGGAAGCCATTGCTTAAAATGCTGATCTTAGGCAAATCAATAAAATTCGTCAAATGACACCAATGCTATAACATTTGATTTTATGTAATTTAGTAATTATCTCCACCCAATTTTTCTTTTCTCTCTTTATCAGAAAGTGTGATGTCTTCAATCGTGGGTTCTCTGGGTACAATAGTCGGTGGTGCAAAAAGATTTTGTCCAGCATTTTGTCCTCTGAAGATCTCAAAGACACAGTATTTGTTACTATCTTTCTTGGAGCCAATGATTGTGCAGACAAAGATATCAATCCTCATCAACATGTTCCAGTAGATGAATATAAAACCAATATGTGTGCTATTGTTAAAGAATTTGAGGTAAGAAAGAATTATCATTTTATTTTATGCTAGCTTTTTACTTTCATTTGAATCTTACAATGATGATGTTTTTCTCTATATGATACAGGTAATATGAGAGTTCTTTCCAAAAACTATTTTCGGTATTTTATATCAACGCATTTTGCACGCATGGCAGTCTTTTTATAGTAGGCACCACTCCAGCTGTCTATTATTTGGTTAATATCAGAATTACTAGGTGTTATTGAGTCTTTAAAGATATATATGATACATTTGATATTTTTCCTTAAGAAAAAAAAAGTATAATGTGTTTACAAAACTGATATCAGTAACCCCAATTAAAAAAAAATGTAATGCATGTAGAATTTCTCATTTTCCCCTTTCTTGCATGGTGTTCTTTACTTAAGGCTAAATCATAGTGCAACTGGAGACCCATCATTTTACTGGGAGCAAAGATTTTTTAGTTTTTGTTTAGGTTTGTGATAGTTCACTGATGTAGTTGGCTTAAGAAATTCAAAGAAAAAGAAGTGATTAAGAGTTAAATTTGGCTCTAAAAATGAATCCTCTTTATCTTGGTATATTTTTTCTTTTCTAAAGTCTTATTACAATTAATATTTAATTTGGATCTTTAGATCTATTACCTCCTACCTCATTAACAAGGGTGTACAAAATACTATATGCATTTTAATCTAAGAATTAAATATCCACATTTCAATGAATATCAGAACTATGAATTCTGGAGCAAAAATATGACATAAAACATAATAAATGTGAGTGTAACTTATTTTATGTTTTTTATTGTTAAGAAATGAAGTAGCTATTATTATGCTAACTTATTTCGTCTCAGATATACTTTTTTATGATTAGAGAAGTACCTAGATGAAAAATTGACTCATAAAATTGTGTGGTTTAGTAGCAAGATTAAGGTTAACCTTTTATACACCTCGTTTATGATATCTAAAAATATTTAATTAATATTTAAATTTATTGAATTCAATTACCTGGCATTAACTTTACATAAAAACATTCTTAATAAATGATTTTTCATTAATTTAGTAGAATAAAATTCTTTACTTGGGGCCAAGTCATGGTGCAGCTGAAGGCAAGAACTGAAGGCCTATTTCAAATCTCTTCATTTCACTAAGAGCAACAAATTTTAGTTTCAGCTTGTGGTATTTCACTGCTATAGTTGACTTAAGAAATGTTTGCTTTTTACACTTAGAGTAACTTTAACTTATTTAACTGAATTAAGTATAAGTTTTTATTTTATTTCCTTCAGACTTACTATATTATTTTATACTTCCATTGCAAAAAAACAAACTTTTTTTGATGTGAAATTCACTAAGAAAATGTAATTTAGGAAATTTGGTTTTGTTACTTGGAAGTTAATTTAACATTTTTTTATTTAAAGTTAATTTAATATTCTTTATTAAAATCTTTATTCATAAAAGCAAATCCATGAATGATCAACTTGATTTGAGCACAATCTATATTTCTAACAAATTAAAAAATGTGTTCAATTTTTGCCACCCTTCTTATACAGAAATGTAATATTTTAATTTCATTTGATTTAAAGAAATAATTTATTAATCCAATTTTTCTAGTCTTTCTTCTTACATGTTCTATGCTAGAAAGTCTCTCCTAAGAAAGTTAATTTTAATATTTTGTTATATTTAACTTTTAATAGACTATTTTCAAAGATTTTTCCTCAATTAGTTTTTACACTGCAAAAATTTATTTAAAAATGCTATTATTTGTTACATAAAGTTAGTTTTGTATTTTCTCAATATTATTGTTATTCATAAATATATTCATGATAAAATTTAATTTTTACAAGTAATTTGTGTTTTTCTTTCTAAAAGGTATATTTGAAAAGATGCTGAATTTTAGTTTACTGTTAACAAAATAAAGATAAAAGCTAAAAACATAAAATAGGAGCAAACGTGGCCCAAGATCCATTTAGAGGCTAACTAAATGAGATTGTTGTAACGGAGGGGAACTAAAAGAGTATTATGATGACAAGTGTAGGATAGACATTGGTTGACCTTGGACTTAAAGAGACCAAGATTGTAGTTGTCAGGGAAGCATTCTCTTAGGAGTTTTTTCCTAGGAGTTTATCAAAGAAACAAAGAAAATGAGGATGGTTTGTCAGCATGAACAGGTGTGTCCTAGCTGTGAAGGTTTGATTTGGTTTGGTTTATTTTGTTTTACGGCATATCAACCTCAATGGGTCATTTAAATTTTTATAGCTGGTAATGTTTTTCTTCAAAAATTTATTTCTGGTAATATTTGTTTTTTAAAGAATGTATAGTTTTTTCTATTGCTAGTTCTTCTTCTTTTTTTTTTTTTTTTTTTTTTAAGTATTGCTGATAATTTTTCCTTCAAAAATTATTGCTGGTAATATATTTTTTTTATTACAAAGTATTTCAGGTATTGAAACCTATTTTTACACAAGTTTGGGTGTCAACTATTTGCTCATAGCTGGGACCCTAACAGGTGCTACCACCCCGGGTCAGGGTGGACCTGGGAACACCAGCAATTAAGAGGTGGTTCCATGCTCCTCAAAACCTCCTGATCTGAGGCCTTGCTGTTGGACGTAGTTTATCGTCATACCCAGGACGCGTGAAGGTTTGAGCTGGTGGAAAAATGTAACTTGTTTTGAATGCCTGCTTTAGTCATAGTCATAGATAGTGAGAGGCTGGCAACATTTCATCTATACAATAAGGTTTGCAGGGTGGAGAATAATTCATTACACACAAGTCCGTGTAGGCTCTTTTGAACCCTGTTGAGGCTGGGCATTGAAGATTGAGCAGTACCAGCCCAGATATGGCAGCAATATTCTATTCTTGATCTGGTGTTACATGTGTAAAGAGAGAGTATGGTAGCAGGAGTTTGGTATTTCCTGGAGTGATACAAGGAAACAACCATTCTTCCATCATCTTTTGTAATGGCATGAATATGCACATTTCATTTGAGGAGTGAGCTTTAGCTCCAGTAGATGTTCAAGGCAAGAAGCCTCTTTGAGAATATGGTCATTCATCAGGATTGGTGAAGGTTTAGAGTCTGCTTGTTAGTGATGAAATGTTATGAGTTTTGGATGTATTGAATGATATCAAGCCAGCCCATTTAGCTGTGAGAGGAGAGATCAGCTGCCAGGCTCTGGTCATTAAGATATTTGGAGGTACACCCATATACAGTGGTATCATTTGTATATATATATATATATATATATATTTACTAAGTAGCTGAGATTGTTCTTCGGCAGATCATTCATATAAAACAGAAAGAGGGTAGGACCAAAGAAAGAACCTTGGGGGACACCACCATTGATCTCATATCAACCTCAATGGGTCATTTAAGCTATTAAATCTACCCTGACATTCTTGAGATTTTTATTATCAAGTGCTTCACTGTATTAATAGTTAACACATCAGCAGCTGATCTTGTAGAGCAAAACTATACTGTTTGTCACTCAGGAGTTTTTTTTGTTGAAGTGTTCCACAACTTTCTGGTTTATGATAGCTTCAATTAGTTTACTAATGACACCAAGGCTGAAAGGGTAATATTTTGATGGGAGTCATCTGCATTCTTGAACACAGTGCACACATGAAGTACCTTGCATAAGCTTGGGAAACATTTCTTCTCAAGGCAACAAATGAACAGTTTCAATAAAATTGGAGACAATTCTGGGTCAAGGTTTTTTCAAATAATTACAGGGATTTTATTCGGACTAGTAGGCTTCATGATCAAGGTTTTTGATAAGTCTGGAAACCTCCCGAGCCAGTATAAAGTATCACAAAGCTTGTGGGAAAGTGAGGTAAGGGATGGTTTTTGTCTTCTATCTTAGAGGCAAAAGTTCATAGCAAAGAGCTTAGACTTATCAGATGAGAATGAGATAACCTCAGGGACATTCATAAAAAATCTTGCAAAAAAATCATTGACTTCAGTAATAATATTTTCACAAGAAGCTAAGTACCTTCTTGTGAAAATATTATTACTTTTTGTTTCTTTGTTTCTTAAAAAAATCTAAACAAATCAATTTTACTTTTTCCAATTTTTCCATTTTTATCAAATTTTATTTGGTAACTTTGAAACATAATTAGAACTTATGCTTCTGATTAGGACTTCTATTTTGGGGCATTTTAAGATTAATTCTGCAGGGAAGTTACAGAATTTATTTCCAATATTTTTTTTTTTTATTCCAATGTATTATTTTGTGATATGTAAACAAGAAATTCAACTCTTTTCAAGTTGTTATCATACTTGATATTTTTTTCTTTTTTAGATGTAATTAGATATTATTGTAAGGCATAATGTACCTATTTTAAGTTTGATGCAAGCTAAAGGAAGAAATGCTATGACAGTCATCATTTCAAGATTAGAGGTTAAAAGAAGAATTTAGATATATCATTGCTCTCCTTTCACATAACTGTCCAGCAGAATCAAGAAAAAGAATCTCCAGAATATGGATTCTACTTTGTCTAAAGTTTTTACTTGTAATAAAAAAGAATGTATCACCGTATGTCTCACTGATGTGACATGGTGCTTTGACTACATGAATTTAAGCATACTTCTAGATTGGCAACTAGTTCTTACTAATTTACTGTTGAACTAGCTAGATGCAACCGTTATTTCTACTCAAATGGTTTCTTTTCTTGTACTTCCCACCTATGGAACTCCCTTCTTATTTCTTGCTTCCCTGATAACTACAATCTTCAAAAATTTAAACGCAATGTCAATTGCCATTTTCTGTCTTATTCCTTTTTTGTCCTTTTGTCAATCCTCCCCATTGTCGGTCTTCTCATTGTCTTTTCACTTTCACTCTCTTTAACCCACTGTGTTCTAGTATTATTGCTTTGCTTGGGGGGAAATGAAAAGAAAAAAAAGAAAAATAAAATTCAGGCTTTGTTTTTGCTTGGATAATATCTAAATATCAACCCTAGTGAGAATTTCTGGGAAATATTCCAATCTGACTTTTAGAACTTTAAAAAACAAAGTGCATTTGCAGTTGTTTAGGAAAG